TAATTTGTTGAAAAATGTGTTGTAAAAAATGTTTTCTTCTTCATACTCCTTATCTTTCCCAGGGTTGGCAGGATTCTTTCCCCTGCACCCCATGACGATAACAGTGGCGGAGCGTCAGAGAGCACAAACATTACAGGCAGAAACATCAACAGCAGAAGAGGACATGCGCGAGCAGTCACAGAAGGAGGCTGATGTGTGAGAATGAATCTTCAGGACTGTGTGACTGTCCAGCAGCAAGACGACGTCAGTTATTTGGAAAGGAAACTGTCGGGTGGACTGGTTGTAGTGGCGTCCTATATCAGATGCCAACAGAAGTTTTTGGTTGCTGTCGCAGCGGCTATGATCACTTCATGAAATAAATTGTTGCTCAAATTCAGTATCTGCAGTTTTCCTGAGAGTGATGTGTCATTACAGCCAACTGTTTGTGTGCCCTGTTCATTTGAGTTGAATAAAGTATTATATGTTAATATTGCACTCGTTTATTAATTTTTTTTAGTTAACCTTAATTTAACCAGGAAAGAACTCACGTTTTTTTCGAGAGTGTCCTTGCCAAGACAGGAGTCTCAGACAAATATTAAGCAGACATCCATACAAACACAATATATTATGTATAATTATAAAACATTAAAAAGCACTAAATAACAAATTTAAACAGCAAGATTTGTCAAGATGGCCTACAACCAGAACTATATGAGGTAGAACACTGACAGCCAGATGTGTCTGCCTCCAAGTCATTTAACGTCCTTCTAAAGGCATCAAATAAGAGCAGCTTGTTAAATTTAAATTTAAAGGTCCTAAGCTTTAAATTTACGATTACAAGTCCCTGTACTTTTCTGACTGATATACTGTATGTCAGGAGGTTTGAAGGAGACAGACCTAAAGTAGACCTGTAGATAAAAATATGCCAGTGTTTAAGCCTGCGTTTGGAAAAAGACGACCATCCAACACATGTATAATACAAACACTGATGAGTGGGTCTGGAGTGGACGCTGAGCTGCACATTACAGTGTCATAAGGGTGAAATTGAAAATTAACATTGAAAACATTTTGATCAATGTTTTTGTTACTTTTTTCTGTGTCCTCTGTTCAACTCTGGCTTTTACAGATGTTAAGAAACTCAAGAAATTATTTTATTTTGTTTACTTTTAATCCAATTGTGGACATTGCAATAGGTAATGCTTTTGTTGTATGCCTCCTATTTGATCAAGTACAGTCTGTTTTTTTTTCTGGTAATAGCTTTGTATTTGTTCTTCTGCAGACAAGGAAGTGTTGTTGCAGAGAACATGACGGAGAACACTTACACAAACAGTAAAGCAGTCACATCCAGTTTGTCAGCACACAAGTTGATGAGGTGTTGAATGATATCTTGGATTACATAAGTGACCTCAATAAGATTTCTCAGGCATTTCATAACACACCGGTTCAGTTAATTGAGTCGCCTTCCAGGCACCTGAGATTAAAGGGAGGTGACATTGAAGTTCTTGACTTTTTGCTGCTTTGCACTATCAGTGTTTTCTCATTCTGTACTTGTTTTAAAAGATATATATTTGTGTTTTTGGTACTCAAACAAAATGCAAAAAAGTCAGTGATATATAATTTAGAATAACACTTAATCTTTTACTTTTAAGTAATAATACTTTTGATCTCATATACACATAGTATGAGACCAAACTCAAAATTAAAAAGCTGTAAATAAATGACCATGACGACTATGTGTTTTAACTTCATCATTCAGCAATAAACATGGTCATGGTAAAAAAAACAAAAACGTTTCCTCACTAGGAGTTGCAACAATCAGTTGCTACCCCATTTTTGCCACATTTGACAGGGTTCTAATGATCTAAGCAGAGGACAATATATTGTTAATTCATGATGCTCCTCCATCTGTTGGGCAGACATGACATCTTCTTCTTCATGCAATCTTTCTTCCTTCCACTTTTTTTCCTTTTCAGCTTAAATCCATCTCGTACGCCATACTGCCCTGGCCGACTCAGTGTGTTTGAGAGTCCGAAATAATAAAATGGGCACACTATAGGACACATGCCCTCAATAGGTCACTAAATCAGGTTTAGTCTACTGGAGGGGAACCCTGGAGGGCAGGTTACCAGTTTTGGCCACTGGAAGGGCACCTTAGAGGACACTTTATCAGGTTTTGTCCACTAGGAGGCCCCCTGGAGGACACTTCATCATGTGTTATATACCACAGGGGAATAAGAGGGCACTTTTGCAGCGTTTTTCAAACATTAGAGCACAAGAGCAAAAGTATATGCGTGGTAATTTTCGCTAATGTCCCTGACAACTTCTTATAGTAGACATAGTGATATGCAAATCATGAATTTTGTTTCTTGCTTTAATCAAAGAACAACAAACATGGCTATATTAATAGTATGACACTGCCCCTCTTGTTTAAGAAAAGAAGCAACTGCTTTAACATTGTCTTTCTTTGACTTCTATGAAATGGACACTTTTCTTTTTTAGAAAATTAAACTGACAATTACTCAAGCAAGGACTCTAACATCAGCAGTTTCTTGATCATTTTCATATTTTCTGAAGAAGTACAAGTAAGTAAAATAAAATAAAATAGTTCTTACTGTTTGACGATCTTGCGTGTTTCTTGTATCTGTCCCTCTAGCTTCACTACAAATATACAACCACTAGGTGGCGTACATGTGCTTATTTAGGGGGTGGTGTGTTGCGCTTTGCAGAACGTTAAGGTGTAGAGAAGTTTAGTACACATTTTCAAATCCCCTTTAAAACAAATGGAGGTGATTTAAAAAGCTTCATAGTTTAAACAAGTTGTGCAGGGATCATCTATGTTTTTCGTAGAATTTGACCCATGTCGTTTTTTTTAAACTTGTGATAGTTGCGAGATCTTTCTTTAAACAATGACACGTTGCTCATGCATATCCTTGCTGCTGGCCCACAACAGCAATACACATTTCATCAATGTCCTTACATCTGAACTAATTATGGCTATAAAAGTCATTTCAGCGACGGACTCAGCAGAAACACGTGTGGCCAATTTCTTTACCTGCACTTGATGTGCTATATTTTCTTTACTAGAACTTGACTAAAGTTTAACCAGCAGCACTTCTGTCCAAGTTAAAGATTGACAGCTCTTTTATTCCCTCACAGCAAACATGAAAAAAAAAAACTGAATACTGAAATGTGTTTTCCTACATTTCTTTATACCTTCAAGCATTCTATACATATACACGATTTGAATGCTAAGAGTGTTTCAAAATGCCACAAAGCTCAGTGTAGAATAGAATACAAACTGTATGCTGCATGTCTGTTTGTTTATCTAAGCTATTTTATTGTAATTGTTTAGTGTACTGTTGTTTTATTTCTCAGTCATTTTTTTGCGATATTTAAATGTCCATATGTTACATGTTCTGTCTTCACACTGCTTGGGGCTGGCTGGGATAACAGCATTTCATCTTTTGTATGTGCACATACAAAAGGAAAATGACAAATAAACAGAATCCTGAATCTTGAAATGGCATGCCAGCTGCCTTAAACCCAACAGAATATGTTGCAGAGTACCATAGAATTAAATATAGATAAGTCTGACCCTATGAGCAGAGGAATTCTTCAGAAGTATGTTGGTGTTGTCCTATGTTACTTTATATTACTTCAAAAATGATTAAATTCCAGGATCTTTGAGTGTCATTATCCTATATGCTTTGTCTGTAAAATGGCATTGTTCAAAACTCACCTTGCCTCTATTCTCTTAATAACTTTAAATCTATAAATTGTATTTGCTTAATGGGTTTGTTTATCACATGTTGGAAACACAGAAACAAACTCTTTGTACAAGGTAGATTCATACAGAACTTTGGATGTGTCTGAAACAGACATCAGACATTTAATCCACTCACATAACTTCAGAGGCTGATCCACAGAGGTTGTACAGCAATTAATGAGACGATGGTCATAATTACTTCTTATCTTTGAAATAAGTTAGATCAACTTGTTAATCCATCGACAGTGCCAGCCAAGGACTTTTATCTAATTAACTGAACCAAAAGATATGAATATCCGATGAAGTTTACTGAGCAGGTCGCGCATACTCCTGCCTGAAATGAACCCGAACAAGGGACGAAATCCAGCAACACATTTATAAGACTGAGCTTGTCAATCCCGATGAGGAATCAAAACGTTCTCCATGTCATTATTGTTTTGAAAGGGAGGATGGGTCAGAAGCAGCAAGAGAAGCAATTTACAAGACTGAAGTCTGCAAATAATTGTAATCGTCCCTTGTGTGTTTTTTTCATGCATGTCTGATTTAAAAAAAACAACTAATGAAACAAAAGTTTAAGCAAAAGTCATACGTCTGACTTGTAGCTTAGAGCACAACGCCTAGCAATGCAGTTTAACTTTGTATTTATTCAGACGCTATTCTCAAACCACACACCTTTCTTAACTCATCTTCTTGCTCAAAACATACATTTAAAATGTGCAGCCTGTTATTAGCTGCTGTCATCACCATTCATGTTGTCGTCTAGCAGTGAACCAGGTGAAAGAGATTGCAGGTGGCCAAGCTGGTCCAAACTGCTGCTTTTCTAACAATGAAAGGGTAATGCAAAACGAATACTCAGCACAGCAAACCTACAGTAATAGTCACTGCCATGCTTGGAGGCAGCTGAATTTAAGGTATGACCTCTAATTCTCTGTATGGCTCCTTGCCCAACAACATGGACTCGATTCAAGAGGGAAACACTCGCAACATTGTTAAGAGCTTAAAAACCTGTGGGCGCAAAACTGGCTGCCACAGAGCATCTAAGCAGTCATGCAGGAAGAGACGGTGATATAACCAGGAAGAGGAAGGCAGCACACTGTACACCTGTCAGTCGACCATTGTAAGTAACTCTTCTCTCTCTGGATAGAGGCCAGTCACAATAAGGCACAGCATGAGGGTGTGTGGCTGATAAAACAGGCCAAACAGCTGAGTTAAGAGTTCAGGCTTGACAGATTCAAGAAACAGAACGCAACAGGGCTCATAAATAAGTCATTTTATTTTGCTTTCTTTTTAAAGACTATATACTCAACAACAATTCAGAACAACAAATGGAATTGTTAAATACTGTACACAGCATACTGTGCTCTCCCAGTGCATGTCTTCACCACAGCAGAGAAGCTATTTCTTGATAAACTAGTCTTCATTCAGTTTTATATTTTTTAATAAGACATAAAATACCTTAAGATTAAATAGTATCAGTGTAAGATGTAAACATTTTTCTGACATTTAAGTCAAAAGCAACATTGTGTGTGGGTTTGTGAGCAGAAGGGACAGAGAAAAGTGTATTTTTCAATGACTGTTTGACCTCAGCAGTTATCCGTTTCCCAACCTGAACACCGTGTTCGATACCAAGGGTTACTTCAATACATGTGCTACATTTACTATATCATCCTGATGCTTCTTGAATAATCTACTACAATAAAATTCATATATTTTCTGGGCTGCCAGCAGCCAAAGTCTCCCAGACCACACCCACTGCAATCATGTAAGGCAGGAATGCATGAGCAGAACAGGAAAGTCTGTGTCAGGCAGGTAAACCCAGCACTCTTTGTAATGCATCTGTATTAACAGGTGAGCCTCACATCTATGTGATCTTAGATGGGAGGGATTTCTTTTATCTCTATTTAAGGACATCCTGTTGAAAATAACTTTCTATTGTTCTTAACTGAATTTAAACTTTGTGACAGGTCACATACAGAGCTGGTCACTTCATCTTTTGTAGATTTATTTGCCTATATTAATGGGGGTCATATGTGAAAAAAAGGATTAATATCAAAAGGAGGTAGTACTTGAAGCAAATTAGTTCCAAGCAATGACTCACAGTTTGACCAAAAATAAGCTCCCCACCCTACAGTTTGATGGAATTCAGTAAGAATAGCATACATTCACTTCATGTTCATTTTAACAGGCCATTTTTTTGTGCAACAAAACAGACCTGAACACTGGGCTAAAAAAAAACAGCAGGTGCCACGGGAAAAAAAAAAAAAGCAGAGCACAGTAACAAATATGGTTGACAATTTTCTACCACTTGTAGAAAGTCATTTTTATAAAGTATCACAAGAATACTTCCAACAGCTGTTCACATGCACGTATGCACAAACACATCCACAACTATACATCCGTGCAAACACAGACACACTCATCACAGACAACTACACCATAAAAGCTGCACTAGACATTCCAATAGAAACATGCATAGCTACCAGTAATGTACCCATCTCTTAGTACAAAATGTACCATGACTAGGTGCCACGTGGGAAACACAATTTTACACAGAAATGGTGGCCTGAGTAAGACCTAAACTTCATAAAGGCAGGGCAACCATATCAGTGTTGATAAATAAAGGCAGAAAAAAAAATGGAGATTTGTGTGTTGGCATCCTTCATATCCGTTAAAAAATTAATTTGCCTTGTACATAGACTTCATATATTAGGTGATACATGGTTACATCACTGACCTTTTGTCCCGCATGAGATACAAGAGCAGCATCAGTGCATCTCAAAAAATTATCCTCAACCTTTCAGACACAAAAACACACTAAAAAATAAAAAAAACGAGGTTCAAGGCCCGCTTGTACCTTCTCACTGTACCACATCATCAGCAAAAACAGCACAACAGTGAATGTCATGAAATAGAAATCATATCAAAAATAAGCTCTACAATGTCATTTTGCCCACAAATAGCTATACAATTTTTCTACATAAAGTATCTCAATGGTGATAGCTATTCCATCATTACCAGTAACTGAATACAGATCACACATATCCTGTGTGTTCAGAATACATAACAGGCTACAAAAAAAGAAAAAAAAAAGGAAAAGCAGCAGCTTGAGGGTTGTAAGCGTCCAGTTTTTCAAGTGGTTTGTGCTCATGTACAGAAGAGTCCTCTGCTACTTCCACTTCAACTTCAACTTCAACTTTTTTTTAAACCAAATCCACATGTGCTTTCCTTCTGGTGTGGCAGTCACAGTTTGAGTCTGATACATGAGTATTGCGGGCTGCAGGGCTGTCCATGACCCGAAAAAATTTCTCTACACAAGGCGAGTCCACAAAAGCAGGCCGCTGAGGCAGCAGATAGTAATGTGTGGTGCTGGCTTTCTTGCCATTTTCCATCACTGGAAGGATGCAGGGAGATCCTTCGCTGTTCTGTCTCTGTAAACCCCGAAAGCTTACGTATTTAGGATCAGGTGCAAAGCTTTGGGTTGGGGGCATCACGCCGTTTATGTATGTTGGGAGGCTCTTAGGGCTGGGGGTGCGGGAGCAGCCTCTGGAAAAAGGTTCCCTTGGGGGCACCTTGGGTGGTTTGTCATCATCACTGTACGCCCCAGACGAGACCTCTGCTGACCAGCGGCGGTTGTCTCTTGTCTTGATTGCTCTCGGAGGGATAGGGGGAGGTACTTCAGGTTTATCCGTACTGTAGGTGTGTCGTTTGTGGCACGAGGGACGCAGCAGCGAAGGCTTGTTAAAGGATCCAGCTGGGCCCGAGTGTGATCGCCGCAGCCTCCTCTGAGCTTTTTCCTGCTGTCTCTGACAGACCACTGGCTCAGGTGGTTCCCGTCGCTGCTCATACTGTTCTCTCACTTCCGGTGGTGGATGCACCTGGTGCTTTTTTTTGGATTCCCTAGGGCTCTGTGGCCCTAATGGACCATCATAGTAAGCATAGTTGATCTGCCCACAGTCCCTGAAGCTCCTTTGAATGGGAATCCCGTATCGAAAAGGAGATGATTTGTGACACTGCTCTGACACCAGGCAGCAGCTGTCGTCTGAACTCGTGAAAAATTCTACCTCATTGTCAATAGCCTGATCGGGGGAGATGTCTGTGTGAGGAGGGATGGGGGGCAGAGGCTTGGAGCATCGGCCTGGCGTCTGTGGTGGACTGCTGCACTCGTACACCGAGAGCCTCTGGAAGGAAGGGACCACCTGGTCTTCATCAACTGGACTTGGGGTGGATGGTTCAGCACTGCAGGACAGGGAGAGATGGGAGGGCCGGGACTTCTTTGGGGGTAATCTCTGTGACGTGGGACTGTGTTTATGTCCTGTCAGAGAGGAGAAATGAATAAACAACCATCATATAAACTGCACTTCCTTGTGTCCTGTAAAAAAACATCACTAGCTTTCCATATGTTCCTTGAAAATGACTTAATGGGCATCATAAATCAAGAGCACAAAACATGCCTTTTTGTATTTAAGAAGACTATGCAGATGGCAGATCATGCACTTACTTTCATGACTTGGAGTGGACTGAGATATCCCCTTTTGGTGGGCACGAGGGCTGTGATTTGTGTGTGCAGTATCCATACTGAAATAGAAGCTGTTAAAAAAATATATATATTTGATTAGTGCCAGTTTAAAAAGGACCCTCATAACATTTCATCATATTTAAAATAAATCATAAGCTAACCTGAACCAACACGTTTGCATTTCATGCAGATTTTAAAATTTCTTCCTTTCTACAAATCTCCCCCCATATGGACTGCTTGTCCTGGCACTTGAACACTCACTTGTCCAGCTCATGGGGACAGCTCCAAGACGATTTGGATCCAGCCATGCTGTGACAGTAGCTGCCCCTCAGGAAGGGGTTTTCTATGGGAAAAGAGATCTCCTGGGCAGTCAGGCCCACTGTGGACATGCTCCAGGTACAATCGGGTCGCATCAAAGGCTGGAAACACTCAGATCACCCGGCTGGCTGCCCCTGCTTCTTGTGTATCTGTAATACAGCCAAAACACAGACATAAGTGACAGTGAACGGAGGTTGAAGGAGAAAGCAGATGAAGAGAAACAAGATATGCGGTAGCACCTTGAAAAATACTCTCTGAAGCTGAGTCAACATGTTGGTGAGGCCAAGAAAGAAACAAAAACTTGATATAGAACAGAAAATACAAATCCTCCCCAGTCTGCTGGCCACTAAGCTAAATAATTAACCATGGCCCATTCTTTTTTTATCCATTGAAGAAGACAATCTCCCATAACAGAGGAAGGACAATATCTTGGTTTGACAAGAATCCAGGACATGTTTGTCCCAACTAAAAGAGCATGATGGCTTATGTGAAAGAAAACATGAGTACTTTTTTTTTTTTGTCAGGGGTATTTTAATCTGAAAACTGGAAACAGGAAGAGCAATGAATGCTTTGTTTAGAATCACTGGACAATACAAATACCTAAAAGTTAAGATTATTAAAGAAATACACTGAAAGTTTATCATTTCTTTAAACATCAACTATACCATGCTCCATATAAGCTTCAAAAATCTTAGTTCTGAACTCATTTACCAACCTAATTTCTATTTATCTAGTGAGTCCAGTGTCAATACAGTATATTTTAAACTGTGCTGTGCTCCAGGGCCGCAATCTGGCTAGTCCTGAGCAGCACATGAAGAGGCTCCTCCTGTTACCAGAGATATACATGATGTTGCAAGAAGTCCTCAAGTCAAATGACCTGAATGTTCGTGTCATGTCAGGTATGTGTCAGGGCTGAGTAAACAATTTATTCAATATTTAGAGGGGAAGATACACTGCAGCATATTGATATTTCTGCGGTCAGTTGTACACTGGAAGCTAAATCTGCTTTTTCTTGCCCCACACTGGATTAACCTGTTCAGTATTTCACAATGTCTGCTGCAGGGAGTGTAGTAGGTCACTGAATGTTATATTTTAGAATGAAAGTTTTTTACGTTTTACAGCAAGTGTAAAAACTAGAGGTACCTTTGTTGCTTGTTGTGATACAAGCCATGCATTGATACAGCAAATCTCCAAAAGACTCCGCCAGAAGTCTTAACAATTATTTATTTATTTTTGTTCAGAATGCAGGAAAACAGGTGCATCAGCAACCTTGGTGGTCAAATCTTCTGTCAACCACAAATGAGGTACATTCACACACCCAGAGACACGCTGTTCTCCTTATAATGTAGAGTGATGACTGAGAAGAACATAGCCCCCTCGTTCCCGGTCTCCAGTGAGCCATATTTATGTGCAGCCCTGACAGCTGCTGAGAAACAAAGCTCTAAAACAACAGGAAGCTTGGGGCATCAGCCTGAGCCAAACTGCCCAACAAGGCATGCAATCCCCCTGCACAGGGCCGTAGATTCAATTCGCGCAGGGATGGGAAGCAACATGATCCCCGATAATGAGCCCCCAGGGACTTGTGCTTCCTCTTGCAACAGGTGCAAAGACAGTTCATTCTGGCAGATAACCACAGGAGGAGCATTTACAGGCAACAGGATTAAACAAATGATGAGCAGTCATGCAGAGCATTAACATTCTTCAGGAGGAGTCGCTCAAGTCACTTAATGCAGACACTGAACAGAGATTGTGGGTCTTTTTATGGTCAAGTCTGGCCTTATTGTTTATATAAAATGCGGACAGGCTTAATATGAGTCCAGATAACACCAGGCAGGAGGTCTGATGGGGTAAGCAAAGATGTAAAACATCAGCAGACAGCTGTCCTTTGGTTATGGATTGTAGCAACACACTCACACGCAGACCTTGAAAGAAGGAGTTCACACCCCGCTCACGACAACCCTGCAGCGGTTTCCGAGCAACCATACCCGCTCTACCTGTGCGGCAAGCCAACAGCGCGCACACCCCCTCACTTTACCGGATTGAGATAATAATGGTTAAAAGCCCTCTAGCAGGCAGGTGACTCACAACACAACACATAGGTCAGCTATCTGACAAGGCAACGTCCTAAGTTTAGAAATTAACTGTTTCTCATTTTGTTTTAAGTGAGAAATACAAATAGTTAGCTGTGCCTATTTTTTTTAATTTAAAGCAAGTCAGGTTATGGTTTTGCCAATGGAGAAAATCTTTACGTTATGTAAAGGGACCAACAAGTCGATCAATAACAGTTCTCATATAAAAAAAATAAAAAAAAAAGATATAGGCTTGTATAAGCTACTAGGCTTTGTTTCCACAGTTTATGTTTTTATTTTCAGAGTTTGTTTAAAAATCGTACAGAGGGGCTGCTGCTCAGAATGACTTGCTTTAGCCAGACAATTATAAGGGAATAAAATAGAAAGCGTGACATTTTTCAAAGTAGTAGCTGAAGTTGCACCAAACAGTGTAAGTTGTCTGTCGTTCTGGCACCAATATACAAAACAAAAGACAGGAGATATCCTGTTTTTTTTTCTTTTCTTTCAGCAGCCTACACAAGACATTTCAAACCACTTTTCTGAACTCACCCCGGATTTTTTGGCAGTTCTCCTCCGCTGTCTGACTCCTGTAGACTCCTCTCTGGAGATAATAAAGCTCCTAGATTTCTTCCTTGAGTCTGTTATCTTCAGATTTCTATTGCGTCAAGAGCAGGACGCCAGCGCGTTGGTGACGCTCCGGCCTTATATTGAAACACTTTATAGATAAGTCTAGTGTTGTAGTGAGCAATGTTTTATAAGCTCCACCACACGAGAGACGCGCTGGCCCCGCCCATACACACTTGCTCTTAAAGGTACAGTGTCCATTTTTTACCAACATGTAGACCTATACATGTGTAGGCCTACATGCAGCAGGACAGGGTTAAATGAGACCATTACAAAGTTCCCCTTGAACAAACAAACTATTATTCACCATATTCACACAACAGGCTTATGATGTTAGGCTCGGGATGGGGAGCTCCAATGTCATTATTATTTCACACTTCTGTGTCCCTGGTTGTAAGTATAAATCTAAGCTACCAAATGATCATCATTTCACTGTTTCGAGACAGACGTGCAACTGAAAAGAGGATGGATGGTGACAGTTTGGAGAGAAATTTGAAACATTTGTAAATACTTTATATAAAAAATATTTCTCGAAAATGTACTTTTAAGCTAACGTTGCCTTCGCTAGGAAGTAAGTAACTGAATTTGAACATTAGCAACAGTCTAACACAGTGGTTCAAAAAAGAAAATTCTGCCGGGTCCCCCTTTGCAGATGAAAATATTTTCAAGTTCCCGTCCCCTCACCATACACATGGACATATATCTTAACACACTTAACACACTGTCAGTCATGCTAAAACATTAGCTGCAATAAGTACAGAATAGCAGTTCATGTGTGAAAAAATGAACAAGCCATTTTTTTTAACAGGTTTGTGACATCTGATGAAAATTGAGCCTTACATTTATGTCCTCTTACAAAATTTTCCATACTTTGCTATATCAGTGAAAAACGGTGTCGTCGTCCCCCCCCCCCAGCAGTATCAATGCAAGGAAATGAAAACAATGTCAGATTCTAGAGTTACAACATTACGCCAGTATTTTAGCTGGTGTAATCGCTGCTGTGTAAATATGCTCGAATGAGCTAATTTAAGTAAACACATAGGTAAACTTGACATGGCCAAGTCTGCATTAGATCTTTTGTCTTTGCCTTTGGAGGACAGAGCAGGTGTGAACACAAGGATACAGTCAGCTGATGCATTTTCCATCATGGGTTACATGCAATATCGGCTGACAGTATAGCGCCTTGACAATTAGGCATGCAGCTGCTTAAAAAAAGGGAGAACTAAACTACAGGTCAAGAAGGCATGTTTATTCATTGCAGAAATGTTTATTTGTAAGAATAAACCTGCAGAATTCTCTGTAAAGATATATAATGAAGTGAAAATCCTCCTGTAGCCTTGAAAAACCTTCTGACCTATATTATACTTGTGTCTTCTGTTTGTATTCATAAACAATACGCGTGCTGCAGTCAGAAGTGAACTGCACAAATCTGCAGGAAGGCAGAGGAAGTAAAGGGGATGGCTCCAGGGAAGATAATACAGACAGCAGGCAGAGAAACACTTTTATCTGCCCTGTATTCTGCTGCCATCTGAACAGAGCCAGGATTGTTTAGCTGCTGGCTTTTCAGATCACATTTTCTTTTAGCTGGACCTGTTCTCTGTTCACCTGACACAGTGTAATTAGATAATCTCCTGGGCTACAGGATTTATATACACAGTTTTTTCTTTGTTTCAGTTCAGGGTAATATACTGTATGAGTAATCCTGGACGTGCAATCCCTCACACCCTCAATTTCCAGTCACTGCAGTTCTTAGCCTACTTTGGCCTTAAGTGGTATCAACTAACCAGGCTAAACAAACCCAACACTGACATGCTCTCTAACCAAACACAGCGATACAAAGGCTACAAACAACTTGTGTGTTGATTCAATAGTGGCAGAAAGCAGAGGTGTGTGTGGAGAGAGAACAGAGTGTTCTTGTGCCTGAGTTTGTTAATCCTATATAGCTTGGGCGCTGGGTCCCCCCTAACCCCACAGGCTTATCATGACATATTTTGCCCCCACATAGACGAGGTTCCTGCTAATCCCCATTTATAATTTCAGGGACATTTTTTGGATTTCCCCTGCAGTCATGTGACCAGAAAAAAGGGCTGTATGTATTGCTATCTGAAATATACTGTTTTTTCGGTGTGTCTTGGTTCAAAGATTGAGAACACAAAAATGTGGATTAGAAGAGATTTACACATTGGATGTTTATGAGTGACAACATCATAAGATTAGGGTTAATAACATGGATTCGGCAGGTTAGGTTACGCTAACTTCAGAAAGAATTTTGCGTGCAGTAAACACACACACAGGCTGATGATCATTCAGGTAAGAGCTTTCTTTTATTGGAAATACCGACATTATTTTTTGACCCCGCTCGAGTTAAACGAGAGTAATGGTGACTTGTAGTCGGTGTGCAGAAAGGAAAACTTTGTCCACTGCCAAGAATAGTCATTCTAATCTCACAAAGCACAGAGCTAGACCACCATGCTTCTACTAAACTAAAGCCTGGCGCTGCAAACACCGGACACCCAGCAGCTCACGTTAGCTCAGCAGACCCAGGATAAGCCAATATACAAACAGATAATGCTTGTTTTTAAATCACTGCCAGCTCCACAATTTGTAAACCATCCAGGACTACAAACAGACCAATAGCAACGTATTTTGTTGACGACGTGCTTCATATCAGCTGTTGAGTCTGTTACCTTCAGAGATCTAATTAGCAAAAATTTTGAATAGTGATGTAGTCAAGAACACACTAACAAACACCAAGACATATCCAAGACCAGAGTGCTCCGAGACCAGGATCGAGACAGAGTCAAGACCAAGACCATAAATATCAATAAAAAATCCTCTATTGTGCAGCAGGCATGTCCCCTCATGACCGTAAAACCAGGAAGGTTGCACCGTAACCGGGAGATAAAACTCTAATTATGAATGAATTGAATTCAGTTGTTTTTTCAAGAAATGTGCGTTTTCCTTCTTATCACAGTAATGACGAGGAAAAATTGCCTGTTAGTGGTGGTCTTGATTTAAAATCTGGAGTCCACTCAGTCTGAGACCTAGACAAGACCGAGTAAAATGCTTTGGATTGCGAGACGAGACCAAGACCTTCATAAAGTGGTCTTGAGTCCAAGACCGATTTTGAGTACTACAACAATTATTGAATTGTCCTATAAAATTGCTACAATGTTATAGGACATTTGGAAGTTGTTTCCTCTCACTTTGCAATAGCAACACTAAATAATGTACATTATTATGAGCTGTAAAGCAAAAAAGTAATCCTAAAGTTACTTTCCCAAATACTTTTTCATTGCAGTAACTCAGGGAGTAACTTAGTTACTTTTTAGTATTTACTAATTTTCAATAATTTGCCCATTTCTCTGCAAATACTGTCTCAATTCCCTGCATAGTTAACTTCATCATTCATTTTGTACTTGTATATACCCCCTGTTTTTATTTTTATTTATCTTATCTATTCTGTTTAATGTGGATTTTGAGCTTTCTTATCTGTGCTGCTGCAAAGCCCGAATTTCCCCTCTGGGGATCAATAAAGTATTATCCTATCCTATCCTATCCTATAACAATGCATTTACTTTTTCATATTAAAAACAAACTAAACTAGTTCAGCAAAGCATTCATTTGTATCTGCCTTTCATCCATGAATCTGTCATCAACACTCTTTCCATGTTCCTCCAAACAGACACATTAAGTGGGATTAATGGCTTCACATTCAAACTCTCTCTCCTCCCACTTCCCCTCTCCCCTCCCTGCTTGTGAGCCACGCTGTGATGTCATCACTCACAGGAAGTTCCTTATAAAGTTAGTCAGGGAAGGGAGATATGCACCCAGAGCAACAGGCAGCTCCGATGAGAGTTTGAGATTGCAGATGAAATCACTTGCGTCAAAGAGGATATCCTTCTCAAGAATAAAACACTTTGTTTTCAATTTGGTTCTGCTTTATGACTCACTGAGATTCATACACCACCCTCAATAACCCCGGATCCTGAGCTTTTACGAAATGAAATGACACCTTGGGATCGATTTCCTTTCAGCCGCACTTGGAACAGAAAGGAATTTCCCTTTGTGGCTCAAACTTCAACACAATTGTATAGTTATGAAGTGACTCTTCAGTCTCTCAGCGTATTACTAAGAATCACTCACTGCAGGAAGGGTGGAGTTTAGTTTGAAATGAGGCAAAATAAAAATAAAAAAACCTGTGCCATCAGTGTTAATGATTATCTCCATATGGAGGTCAGAGCATTGATTGCCTCTGCCTGCTGAGGTAATTAACTTACGTGCATATTTAGCCTGTGACCAAAGTCCACACTGATATAAACACAGAAGCAACAAAACATTCTGAGTAAGGTGACGTCAACTCCTGTTAGTCTGTAGAAGAATGAATAATTGATAAACTTGTTTGTTTTTCGTGTGTTTACATTTTTTTAGCCAAGGTCTACTAGCTTAACTTAGACAAAAGAAAAGACCAATCCAAAGTTAAAGCTAGCAGAGTCGTGATCTTTCTAGATGGAGAAGTAGGGCCTTTGGCCATTGTTGACACCTTGAAAAAAAGCAGCTTCAAGGGCCAGTTCCTACTTTTACAAAAATTAAGTTTGAAGTCATGCAGATTTGTTTTTGTTTATTTGAATGGATTTGAGGTTAAGTGTCTGTCTCTAAAATGTCCACAGTCAAATCAATAAAAGTCATTGGAATCCTTTTAAGATGGTAAAAGCTTTAAAAAATTTTTTTATATATTTTTATATATTAAAAAAAGTTATATGTGAAATGGTCAGAAGTGCTCTCATTACCAAGGATGAGTCGTAGACTTTTACTGGAAACAGGTTTAATCTGGAATATAAGTAAAAATGTTTACTGTAAACTGAGTATTTTTTTTAAAGACTGAAAACAGGTTTCGTTAAACAAACTGCTACAAATATTTGATACGTTAACTATGGTATTAGTAGATAATCATGGAGCTGCTTGAGTTGGTCAATGCACGTGGTGTATATGGGTTGATATCATGGCGGAGCTATCTAATATACAGTATCTTCCATAATAGTCCTTTAGTTGATTAAGGCAATCATGTGTGGTCATAAAACATTAAAAACCAG